TTAAACTATTTATTATAATATTATTAATAATATTAATAATAATATTAATAACCCTATTAATAATATTAGGGAGACCGTAAAATAACGTCGCTTCGACGCATTAAATATTCGTTAGTCTTAAAAACAAATTCCTTTTTTTTCTTTTCGTTCCAATTCATTTTCGATCCGGCATTGAAAGGTTGTAGCTTACGAGCGTTTATACATTATTGATTAAAAATAAAATCTTGATTAAAAATGTCAAATGCACCGAAACGACATTACTTTCCGGTCCCCCTAATAATATTGATAATTATAATCATTATTGATAATTATCTAAATTATTGCGTTGCACTGTAAAAAATGTCGAATCATATTACGGTAAGAAGTACCGACACGCAAGGTGCCAATTCTGTTTTCCATAAAATCCATTCGCACCATAAACATTTACGGAGGAAAACATTTATTATACCTGTATTTTTACAGCTATATTTACTATAAAAACAATTAATCTCTGCAATTAAATAGATTTTACCATCAAAATTGCGGCATGAAACTTTACGGTAAAAAGGAATTTTTCGTTAACGTGGCTTTTACGGTTTTTGCACTCAGGGTGCCAGTACTTTTTGCATTTAATTTGATTTAGCTTTTTTTTTATTGTTGTGTGGAAGAAACTACGGAATGATTTACCTTTTATATTTTTAATTATTGCTTTATTTAAAAAGCTGAGATTTCTTTATACACTTATTATTACTATTTAAATGGAAAAAAAACTACCAATTCATTAAAAATGCACTTTTTTATAGTAAATTTCATATCGTTAAGAAATATGAAATTAAAAAAAGCTTGATTTATTAAATGTACAATAATATTAGTTTTTGACCTTAATAGTGTTTTAGGGAAATTTTCAGACTTTTTAGGTGCCCTCAAATTGGAAATAATCTTCTATATTTATGCTTAATAAATAATTCTGAGTTATAGGCTTCAATGTTACACACGACTGGCTTAATACGTGCTTTGTGGAAATTATTTTTTTCTCTTCTGCTAGCAAATGACTGGTAATACTCCTGGCTAATTCTCTTCTGATCAATAAAGATCAAATTATGTTATTTCGAACAAGTTACTGTCATGTATCTATTGAAGGGAGATATTCTTTTCGAACTTTCGCCTGATAACAACAAAAAAGAATATAATTTCAAGTAAATTTATTTGCTATGAAGTGAAAATATTACTAATTGAGTGTCAGTAATAATAAAATTATTAATTAAGTCTCATTTATTTAATAATAAATTTTGTTCTGATATCTGTTTTAATCTATTCTTATTTGTTCCATTTAGAACATTGATGCTTAGACCCGAAAGTGATCTAAATACACTGAGAAAAGCTATGGTAAAAATTACCAGATTGTGGTAAAATTTACCATGTTTCTATCTAAAGGGGAACACCATAAATTTCGATAATTTTTACCGAAGTGATTTGGTAAGAGTTGTCGAAAAATATCATTTTATAATATGCGTTAAAATTCGGTAAACGTGGTGAAATTTAGTAATTATATTATGATACCTTATAGCAAGGCAGGAAAACTATTTACTCGGTTGAATTTACTTTTCAGTTTTGTATTTTAAGTCAATGTTTGGTAGCAAGAGCTATAATTTTGATAACCAGTATTCCCGGTTAACCGTTACCATATGAACGGAAACCGTTCTGATAAGAATTGTTTGAATTCCGTATATAATGGTTTCATTACCAATTTTTTTTATGCATGAAATGCCTGTACTATACAGTACGGAATTTTTACCAGAATTTTTTCTCTGCGTGCATTCAATAATTGATTTTGTTCTGATATCTGTTCATATAAATTAATTAACCTTAAATCCCAGCCACAAAATTTATAAGAAGAAAATGATAGCACCTATTCTTTTTATACAATTTGGAAATTTATTCTGTTACCTTACCCCTGCATTAATAAAAGCAACGTGCCCTGACTTCATGTCCGGATATGTATATGTATATTATTAATCTATCACGGTATAGAGAACTATGTATCTCTGAAAAATGAATTTTAATAAAAAAACACTTGTGCTACCATTTTTTAAGAACGCTACTCACAAATGAATTAACAATTATTTGAATAGTGTTTTTAGCTCAAATACAATATGAATACATTAAGTTTAAGTTCAATAAATCATCTTCATCTTTTATAACTCTTGCATGCATTTTTGAAATTATAGCTTAACTTATAGTACTATGAAATTAGAAACTAACCTTTACATTTTTGAGATAACTATTGCTGTTACCGTTGTCATATTTTTACAGTTCTATTAAACTTTTACAGCAAACTATGCGGAAAAAGTAGTGTGGATAAATATCAATCGAATCGAATCTCTCATATATTTGGAGATCTCCAATTTTAGCGCATTTTATTTGATTTTTAAGACACAAAAATTTGTGTGAAGGAGTAAGTTTATAATTCTGTTTTCTCAAGTTCGAACATCAGAAATAAAGGATTGTTTCGACACACATACTTTTTGTAACCATACGTTTCAACGAAAAATATTTAAATTACTGTAAAAGGTTGAGATTCCCAGAGCCCGGTACATTTTATCTCAAATTACCAGGATTTTCGTGACAATGTAGTCACGCATAGTATGCACCAAAATAACTTTTTTAAAACTGAGCTTTATATTAATGGAAAGAAAACATTTAAACATTTTTAAGTTGAAGACCTTATTTTTAAAATTAATCATAATTGCATATCGGAACAAATTTTTCTACTTACTCAACCACGGAAACAATTTAATATTATGTTAAAAACGCATTTTTAAGAATATATAAAAAAAATATCCATTGTCAAATTTATCATCTATTCTGCCAAGTTAATAATCACTATCATATATTTACTAAGTTGATAATCTCGGAACTGCCTACAATCTCTGTGAAAAATTAAATTTCGGGATGAGATAGACTGGTAGTAGAGCGTTGGGCTCGTTGTTTGTCAGTTCGAATCCCGCAGGCCACAGAATCCTAGTGAGGTCCTTTCTTTTCCTACCTATACGCAGACTCCAGAAAGCTAAGTCGGGAAATTTTATAAAGCTTTAATCATACGCAGATTTAAATGTAATTTTTTAACTATTACAAACATAACAAAAAAATATAAAGATATTTAACAATAATAATTCTCACACTCTAAGAAGTTGAGGCTAAAGTAGGTTTTTGTAGTTCATTTACGTCGCGTTAGAGCTATTGGCGCTAACATCCTTGAGGATGATCCGAAGACATGTCAACACTCAGAAGAGGGTACGGCACCCCCAATTCGGTAGGCCGAAAACCTGCGCGTGAAGTGGAGCACTTTACGGTAAGACAGTTTGACCAGTAGTGATACTGCACACCCTCGGATCATTCTCAGATTGTTCCAAGTGACCATCTACCCACACTTTGACTGCAGTCAGTGATGCTTAACTTTGAAGATCTATGATGTATTGGGAACAGTGTCTTAACTATCAGTCCACTGCGGGAATGGTCAAAAGTAAGAAGAAATGACTAAGTTTCTGTTGAGGAACTACTAGGCATGCTCACAACCCCAAGAAATGTCACGTGAACTGACTTTCATTAAAAAAAATTAACGAGAAGTTAGCAGCTCATTAGTTAGGTTAGAGAAATCACTCGTTCTGTCATGTGAAATGTTACTTTTCTCCTAAAACCATTCTGGATGAGCTCAAAGGTTCGAGTCTCTATAAGTAAGGTTGTCCAGTTTAGTATCATTTGAAAATATTCCTATCTGAGATCATAAATTTTTGATCATATGTGTATTTTGGACAACCTATATATTGTTAAATAAAAATATTTAATATATTTCAACGATTCTAATAAATTGTAATAAATGTACTTCACTACACTGGACAAGTTTAAAATTTATTCTTTGTTTCTTAGTTCAAGAGGGATATATTTTAAAATAAGTTTTTTTTATTAACAAAGTTGTACAATTTAAATACTTTAGTTTTAGACGAATATTTAATTGAAAATTCGAATTCTTTCGAAACTGAGCGCATAAGGATGAGAGACAACACAAACCTAACTATTATATAGTTCAAACTAGACAAACACATGCACATTTCTGTAGATTGGCAATGAATGTTACAAATTACAAATGAAATTTATTCTTTAAGCCTATTTCAAACTATGTTTTGCCTTTGTAAACTATGTGACGAAATAAAATTAAATTATCTAGCGCCTTCACGAAATGATTAACATTTGGTTATGCTGACATTCTATACCTTCTTGATAACATTACCTTCTTGATAACATCTAGATCTTTTATTAAATTAAAAAAGAATAATTTTATTTAGACAAACATTACTGGCAACTATAGTTTTATACAAAATGCAAAACTCTTCTTATATTTTCATGTTATACTTTTAACATTAATCAACTCAAGCTACTAAAATAAAACAACACTTTTTTTAAAGAAAAAGTATTTCTGCTCATCTTAAAAAATGTTTTCTATATTTTTTCCTATTTTATCTAGTTAGCTCAACTGTTTTCTTCCTAAATAAATTTTTAATCTTGTATTATTTCCTTCTTTTTTTTCAACGTAAACATTAAAGCAAAACAATTTTTACACAAATTGAGTTAATTTACAAATTGAGTTAAAAATTACAAGGCTACAGAGTTAGACATAAGTAGTCGTAAACCCAAAAATTGGGTAGGCTGATCAACGATGATCTTAAAATAAAATAAAAGTCATCACCAAACGATGTTGTTTGAAATAGCCGAGCTTTTTGGTGTTTCCATATAGCCAGTAATACAACAGTGTTGGCTATATTTTTTTCTTAGTGTATCATATTAGCTTTATTTAAATAGTTCCTGTATAGTATTTAAATAGTAAAATATCCTTTCCCTGGTCTGCTCAATTTCAAGATTTGTCATACCCGGAACTACTTGATACGACAAATTGAACAGCCTCCTAGTTAAGACGATTTATCGGTGCTTTTACCGCTACTGCCTAACGAGATACTGCAGGATATTATAAGAGTCTTGCAAGCCTCAATAACTGCCCTGCATTCGATCTAGAGGTGGCCCTAGCAACGCCTCCTAGAAGTGAGAAGGTTTGATCACGGGTTAACATAAACAAAAGTTCCAATCCGTTAATAATCCGAAGAAGTCGACTCAAATAGCCTTCTTCTCTCATTAGCATGACTTTGATTTAGATTAAACGGAATTCTGGTTTAGTTATAAATTTTAGTTATTAGTCTGGTTATTAATTTGTTTTAGTGAAGCTTTCTGTTTGTGATGACCATTGTGAAGCCCAGTGCGACGTAAATAAGCAATTACCCAGTTTGTCATACATATTTGGATTAGATATTTTGATTTTATATCATTGAACCATGTCTTACCATTGTTGAGCAATAAACTGTGAAGGGAACTATGAAAATCATCCAAATGTTGCCGTATTTAATTTCACAAACGAGGAACAACAAAGATATTGGTTACAAGACTGTCACAGAAGGATTTAATAATAGCTAAGAATTCGCCAGTAAGTTGTTACTTCATTAGTTGTTTGGACCAAAAAGTTCAATGATTTAAATCAAAAATTTCTTGTTTAAAGAATCATTGATTTGAATCAAATTATATTTTTTTTCGAAAATCAGCATTTGATTTAATTTACAAAGCATTTGATATAAGATTGCCTATTTTTTTAAAAATTTGTTATAAATACATGGATGCGTTAGAAAACCTCAATTAACAAAAAATAGTACTTTTGAAATGATATTTGAAAAACGTTTTAATTGTAATGTTGTTCTTTTTCAGAATTCAAATAAGGGACAGAATGTGAAAACATAAGGCAGTGTATAAAACTTGAACAATTTCAAATTAAAAATATGAAAAGATCATAAGCCTTTGTTACCACATTCGTATCAGTATTTAAGTATATTTTTTTTCCTTGAGAGAAATAATTTACAATTTTAACTAATAATTAAAATTTTTACCCAAATTAATTACAAGCAAGATGTATATCAAAAATTTATAAAAAACGTCAATATTTAGGTCACCGATCAATGTTTACCGGTCACCATTAGCAAAATAAAGTCGACTGGTGGAGATCGCACTCACGACTTCTTGGACATGCACCCAACGCCCTACCAACCAGGCTACCCCGCCCCTATTGAGCGTAGGCACGTCATCGAATTAGTATTTCAAAAATTCGCTAAAACTACGTTTTAATTTTGTTGACAGATGCCTTTTTGGATATTTTTTTCCATAAACTGAAATCAACGGTAGTTTAATTTGAAAAAAAAAATAGTAATTTATGTGCCAAGTCGCAAAATTAATTATTCTGAATGAGTTAGCCACAATCCAAGATTTTCTAAATAATTCTTATCATATTTAAACTTTTGCAATAAATTTAACTTCAAAAAACGTGTCTTGCCAAATTAAATAATTTCCTTAATTGTAAAGTATCTAGGAATTTCAACGAATAATAATAAAATGCCAATAATTTTAGTTTATTAATTGTCGACATACAATATTATACAATATTATTAGTGCTGCTTAATACAGGGTTATTCATAATTCCCTCCGTGCAGGAGCTGGACTATCGCTATGATGTGATCGTGTGACCAGGGGTTCACACATAGAACACCTGTAATGTATGTAAGTAAAACTTAAATAGTTTCGGAATAATTTCATATGTTTCTTTTTTTCATATTCGTCTTCTTTTTTTCACTACAGCGCTTCGAAACTCCGGAGGGAATTATGAATAAATAAGTACTATTTTACCGATTTTGTTTTTTATCGCTCATAAAGAATGAGTATTCAGCAACTAAATATCAGCATTACAGTCCAAAATAACTCATTGAGCAGAACCAGAAGAAAAATAAAATCTTCAAGTTGTTCTCAATGCGAAATTCACATTTCTGTTTTGACACACAGTTTGCAATTTCTTCCAAGTGTTGTCTTTAGGTTTTTCATCTGCAATCCAGAAAAAAAAGTCATTTAGCCAAAACAACCTCTAAACATATTTCCAATTTCGTATTTCTCATTTCTCTCCCGCATGTCATTAAAATTGGTTTCCAATATATTCTCGGCAAGTTTCCAAAATTGTTGAACTTAAACTGTTGTTATACTTTCAATTCATGTTTGAAATATGTATCTAGGATCAATATCGAAACAATTAAGAGCAAAAATAGTTTCTATGTTACAAATACTTACTTGAAAACATAATTTTTAAATACTTTTTTTAGTAGAGTGAAGGGTTTTTAATACGAGGAACTCTATTTAAAATTAAGATTAGACCATAAAATTCTTGTGCTCTTCATTATTAATAATATATCTTGTATAGAGTGCTCAAAAAACGGATGACCCTGAATAACTTTTGATCCAATGATTGGATCTTAATGTTCTAAGTCTTAATCATAATGCTCCGAGGGGGCAACTTCCAATATATTAATTAATTAGTGTAGACGATATGTTAAGTTACGAAATCAGACTCAAAAACACTTTTTTTCTGAATAAACATACCTTTTTTTGATGNTTATTAATTATATATATATATATATATATATGAAAGGTATACGATTTCTTATGTAATTTTAAGGATCGCAATTTTATATAGCAAAATACATTATCAGTGCAAAATCGGTCGAATAGTTCCTGAGTAAGTTCGAAGAATTCCTTCGAAGAGTTTTTAAAATTCCATTTTTCAGGCACTTTTTGACCGATCTCACTCAAAGTTTGCATTTTACTATGTAAAATTACATTCGTTAAACCATTGCAAAAATTTGTTACAATCTAAAACTTTTTTCAAATGATCTTAAATAAAATAACAAAAACTAATAAATAAATACTATAAGTTATATTTCGCTTGGAATAATCTATAAATAAACGGAAATTTTTCGATCGGCTTGAAATGTTATTGAAATATGGCGAAATGCGCAAAAATTTGAATTAACATTAACATTAGATCGCTTTTCTGACCAAACTATTCACTATTTCCCAGATTGTGGCTACCGCTTATATTTAGGAGGTCAAAGAATCGGCATCCGTCGAACAAAAGGTTTGCTATTCAGAGAAAGCATATTTTTTGTCTGATTTAGTAACTTAAATTGAAGCCTGTATTAAGAGTGTTCTGAGTTCTAGAACCTGAAAATACAATCATTAGATCCAAAGTTATTCAGGGTGGTCTGTTTATTTTTTTTCTGCGCACTATACATGTGCTGGTTTAAATCATCCGGGATCGGTCAAATGTTGCGGAACTCTAAAGCCTATGATGTCTAAAGAAATAAAAAGTTTAAAAAATATACAAAATCTGTAATAGGAATAGAACCTGAAAATACGATCATTAGATCCAAAGTTATTCAGGATTGATCGTTTATTTATTTTTTCCTGCTCACTGTACATGTGCTGGTTTAAATCATCCGGGATCGGTCATATGTTGCTGAACTCTAAAGCCTATGATGTCTGAAAAAATAATAAGTTTAAAAAATATACAAAATCTAGAATGGGAATAGAAGGTATAGAAAATATGGATTTGTAGCACGGTAGTACTAAACCTACTATTATTTATGTTATCTCTAATTGTTATTATTTTAGACTATGGATATTTATAGAAAATATCATGACAAAAAATATAATGTGTAAAACATCATTAAGTATTTACTGACATTTAACAAAAAATACTGTACTTCAATGATGAACTTTTAAGTTCAAACATCATTCATGCACTCACTACAGCCAATAGTAGGCTTCTGTTTTCTCACTATCCTCTTCACACAATCTAGACGAGTGTTTTAGATTGAATTTGGTCTAGTTCAATTTATCTTCATAAGTTGCAGTTGAGATATTGCATTTTAAAGAGCAATCGTATGTTGGGCGCCTTTCTTCTACTGTTTCTATTCATACTAAACTTTATTTTATACTATTTCTACTTATACTAAACTTTATTTTTAACGAATCAAATATCTTAAATATAGTAAAATTGAATCATGCTTTTATTTTCGGATATAAAAATAAATGCATAAAAATAATCTTTGCGTAATAGATACGGTCGACCAAAAATGAGTTTATTTCTGCGCCTGCGAGTATATTAAATTAATTATAGCTATTGAACAAAATAATTACTTTTTGGTTACTGTACAGTACGCGAAACAAAATAACGATCAGCCTGAATTACGTTTGATCTAATGATCGCATTTTCACCTTCTAGAACCAATCCTAATGGTTCAAGATGGTGTCCTCAAATATGCTATTTAATTAGTTCAGTCGATAAAGTTACGAAATCGGACTCAAAAACGTACTTTCTCTGAATAGACATACATTTTTTTTCTCCAACGGATTCGGGTTTCTGACCCCCAAAATATAGAGTAGCCGAAATCTGGTGAATTTGGTCCCCAAAGTGTGGTCAGGAGAGTAGTCCAAATTTTGACCCCTTAACGTTAATTTTAAATTTTTGCGTATTTTGTCATATCTCGAAGATTTTTTAATTAAATTGGAATAATTTTTGGACAGCTCTTCTGACCAAACTATGGGGACTATATTTTCCAGATTAGGGCTACCACCTGTATTTTGAGTCAGAAATCCGAATCCGTCGAAAAAGTATAGATTTGCACTTACTAATTATTGCTTACGTTTTTGAGTCTGATTTCGTAACTTGAAATGTCATCTGCACAAATTAATTAGCATATTTGAGGTCATCGATAGAGCCATGAAGAATGAGTCTTAGAACGTGAAGATCTGATCATTAGATCAAAAGTTATTTAGGGTAGCCCACTATTTTTTATTTATGTATTTAGTTACTTTGTGAACTGTACAAAAACTGTTGAGCAAAACTTTTTGATAGAATGTTATACAAGAACTTCAATTTATTATTTCTCGAAATAGTAGTTGCGCGTAACTACATCTATTGTTGTCCTGCGGTACGTTGGGTAATTTAAATGTGATTTTTTAGTATTCATTGATAACTTTTTCTCTACAAACTGATTGAATGTTTTGGCATATTATGAAATAAAGTTTACAGTGAAATATAACGTTAATTTTTTTATTCTATTTATTACTTTTTTTATTTTTTATACTATTTATTTTGCAATATAGAATCTGAATGGCAATATATCAACTGGAAAATATTCAATGAAATGGGAAAAAAATTGCAAAATAAAACATCACAGTTAAAATGAAGTATCAGTGAATAATTCAAGGTATTTAAATATTTGCTTTATTTGAATCAATCCAAACAGAGAAAAAAAATATTGCCAGAATATGGTAAAATTTACCGTTTATCTGGCTCACAATTAAAAAAACACCGAAAACTTCGTTCATTTTTACCGAAACACTTGGGTATTGATTTTGATAAAATTAACTACAAAATATAACTTTATAATATCTGATAAAATTTGATAAATGCGATAAAATAAGGCAATTTTATCATGACTTCTTAGAGCATGGCATAAAAAACATTTATTCTGTTAAATTGACGGTTTAATTTTGTAACTTTTACTAAATGTGGGTTAATATGAACTATAATTTTAAAAACGGAATTTTTAGCAAACCGTTTCCATATGAGCGGAAAAATTACGAAATGAACGGTTTAAATACCGTATATTTTGGTTTTTAATGCTAGAATTATGTTTTTTTAAACCAGAAATGTCATCATAACCTACAGTAACGATATTTTTCTTGTGAACAGCCGACAGATTTGACTCAGTTTTTGGAACAATGTAATCCATATTACTACTGCTCTCCATATTTTAATGATTTAAAATTTAATATTGTCAAAAAATCGCATGTCTGGGTTTTAAATAATCGTAATTTGTAAAGATCTGATCAATTTGTAAAGAATTTGGGTTCAATTTGTAAAGATCTGATCTTTTTGTCAATAGTTATTAAATATTTTATTTTACTCACAATGCACATCCTTTTATCTCCTTTATTTTCTGTTCCCACAACGATCCTCACTGCGAAAATATATCTAATTTACATCTATTACGAAAATGCAGTTACTGAAATCGTTCTAATTCTATTGAATAATTGTATTTAAAAGCTTATCTGAAACCTATAAAAGGAAGTTTTTCACATTACGCAAAGGCATAAAAATGTAAACTTTTATCACGTGACAAATCCAGTCATTTGCATTTTGTAACAAAAGCGTTAGAATAATTCGAAGTACTTAAGACTTAAAAAAAAAATAACATGAAATTTAAAGATAACCGATAAGGCTTTTCATTTATGCAGGTAGTTTTAAAATATCACTAATAGTTTTAAGTACTGAAAATTACCTGCTATTACGAAGCTTTGTACAAACAGAATGATTCTCTTTGTTCTTCTTGGATATCTCAGTTTAAAAATAAAATAAAAAATGATTAAATTATATAAATGGTTTCTTACAGTTTAACACGCTTGGCGTTTCTTTCCTTAAAAAAAAAAACGTGCCAAGGAAGTATGCTCAGTTACGCCAAGTAGCTCCTAAATAATAAGCGGAAAAGGTTTGGCGTCTCTGTGGATTAAGAACACAATTTGATCAAACAATTCATCCATTAGTTTTCTAACGTTTTTCTTCACTGAAATTGTTTTTTAGATTCTTTTAAGATAAGTTGAAACGTTTTAAAACTTATCTTTTCCTTTCCAAACTGCTTTGCTTTTAAAGAAAGAAAATGACAAAGTAGATATGTTCTGTTATTATTCAAATGCAATATTTTTTTTTTAGGTTTTGAGTCAGTAAGGGCATTTCAACTTCCAGAAATGGTTTTAAGGGAAGATTTTATGGTACATACTCACATCATTTATGAGGTAATTTTATAAATAGGTTGTTTGATATTGTCTTAACGGAAAGGGATCCATTTATATTTTAGGTAACACAAATAAAAATATATCAATTTTCTAAATTAAAATTCTTTTTTATTAGTTGTTATATTGGAAGAAAACAAATTCATTTCGAATTGAAAAATGCATGAAATAAAATTGAAATAAATGGTTTAATACTACACGGAGATATAAATTCTGGTAAAAATTACACTGTTGAAACTTTCAGATTAAATTACGGTTAAACTTACCGGGGTTCAAGTTATCGATACTTTTTACCAAAACCTATTGCGAAACAAATAATAATTCTGTGATTTTTTACAGTAATGATTAACCTATGATGAGCCTATTTTAACCATAAAATCCATTTTCACTGTAAAATCCTAGTTAACCATGAAATATTGCGCCGTAATTTTACGTTATTAATATTTATTTAATTAGAGTGATTCAGCGATTTTAAGGTAATTATTACTGTAAAAATTATGGTATATTATATTTTCTGTGCCATAATTTGTTCCGATAGGATTTAATTTTACGGCAATCTGAGTGCTGGAACTTTTATCGTAATTTGATCCGGAAGTTTTTACAGTGTAGGGTAATTCCAGAAAAGTTACTCATCAATGTTACATTCGGCGTACCATCAGTAAGTATGTTATTCCCTTCTGCCTTCTATTTACGATATTCGTGCATTTTATCCTTCACAAACCTCTGCCTTTATTTGAATAATTTCTATTGATTCATAAAATTTTCACGCAATACATTATTACAGACTAGACATTTTCTTTTCAGTTATGCGCTAAATACTGTAGAATAACTTACGTAAAAACTAAATCTCTTAAAAAAAAGCACTTTTTTCATTGTTCAAAAATGAAACTTGCTATATAAAAAAATATCAATAAACAACAAAATGTAACAATACGAACAAGAATTTTTTTTTGTGTTTAACAGAAATAGGACTACTAAGATATTTCTGAATTAGGTTCTAAAACTGTTATGCATGCCCATGAAATGTGATGAAAAATTCTAGCTTTCAGAAATTATCGTCAATAATTTTGACTAACGCATGACCACGTGACGTATTGATTTTCTTATAAAAAAAATCAAACAACCTATTGCATTTAAGTGATTTAACGAAACATGCTTCTCCAATTCAGTATATGTTCAGAAAAATCATTAATGAAAAAAAAATACTTTTTGTCCTTAATGGTGAAATTTCATATTTTATAATACAAATGGATATTAAATGGTTTCTAGTTTCCAACCTAAAAGGTACAATTCTTCCACTTAATAAATCATTTTCTGGCATTTTCTGAAAACAAAAGCTTGTATATTAAAAGTGCATGCTTTCAAATATGATTTCTCTAATATATCTAGGCTGTTTTCCGAGAAAAATTTTCATACAGTTCAAAACTCTTATTATGTATTTCTAACGTCAGTATCAAAATTCTTATTATACAATCATCAATTACCTTAACCACTATTTGCGTCTCGTAATTTCTCGGGAAACAATATTTGATTTGATTTTCTTCTAATCAAATCTTAAAAAGGATAAAATCTGCTATCAATATTTTTTTCTGCTATTTTATTAAATTGAATGAATGCTTGATTTTTTTTTTTCATGAAACTTTATAATTGAAAATTCTTATCGTTCATAAAAATTAAAGCAATACTGATTGTAAAAAATTATCAATAAAACAAAGTGACTCAAAACTGTTTAAAAATTACTTAATATATAGTAGGAGGAATACGCTATGTAGCTGGTTTATTTTAGCGGAGAACATAATGTTAATGGTATCGAAGCTATTTAAAGCAATCTTAGAAGCTGTTAAGATAATAAAACTTGGTTAACTTTTTAGCAAGCGTGTCTACCCAAATTTTACGATTAATTTGGTTTTCAATGCACTTTTCTCAGATATCGTAGCTGGGACGTCTGAATAACTTCTCTATTCAACCTTTTCCCACATCATGGAATGAACCACCAGTTTTGAGTTATTTTGCTGCTCGCTCATAAAATTTACGACAAATGGTTGGTCGTGAATGAAAATTCGAAAATTGTTTCTTGCTGAAATGTTTTGTAATTTTGTGTTAATAATTGGCTGGTATTGTTTAAATTTGTATAAAGTCAAATCTATAATTTTTAATATCTGTTTTCATGGCCAAAAATAAGTATGCAATCAGCTAATTTTCCTCGAATTTTTCGAGAATCGTCTGATGAATTGAATCTGGAAAAGAGAAGGAAATATTTGTACTTGAGATTGATAGCGATCTATTTTTCTATTATTACTCTGTTCAACCCTTTTTGTATAGTTACTTGTTTGTTTTTTTCTCTCATTTCTAATTTTTAGAAGTAAATAAAAATTTTAAAATTAGAGTTTTATAACTATAGTCACTTATTTTCTTGGCATGTTACGTAGAAGTAAAACTCATTGTAGAAATGAGTAATGTTAAGCTTACATTTTTCCTACCGAGGTTTTATTTTCTTTCAGGCTAGCATTTGAAGAAAATTAAAACTAACTTGGATTTCAAAATGTAGTAATTAAATAATAAATCTTAAATTATCCCTAATAAAATAAAGCATTGCCTCTCTACCTAATAATATCTAACATTACCTTTCTATAAGCATTCAAAAATAAATTAATTTCATTTGAATGCAGCATTATTTGTATTTTGCTACAATAAGGTTATTTTTTTAATTTCTTGATAAATTTATTATCACTATTCATTCTTTTTTTTTTTCGTTTTCCGTGCCAAAACTGGTAAAATAACAACTGTGGTAAAAAATACGACTCGTGCGTGCTGGGAAATTAATTCAAAGAGTTACTAATTAAAATTAAGTATAATAAAATACATTACAGTCATTGGGATATTTACGTATCTACGGAAAGAAACTTAACCTACTATCGTTCGAACATTTTTCTTCCTCTACAGAATAAATCAAATAGTGTTTATGATTAATTCTCCAAAAATTAGAAGAAAAGAAAATGCTAAAATTATAGGATTTATTATATATTTTCATAGTAATTTTTAATAGTTAAGATTTAAGAAAGTTAAAAATACAAACTTCAAATACAAATCAGAAAGATAGACAAACACGATGATACAAAACATTTATAGAAATACGTTTGTACAAAATTTGAAAATCGTCATTAAGAGCCTTAAATTTTTAAAATTCCTTATAGACTTTAAAGATTTTAAAAGTATTCCCAGGTTACCCACTTTTCCTTAAAGCTTATTAAAGATCATTTGGTAACTTATTAAATTTCAATAATTTAGTTTAGAAAGCAAATAAGGTAATACTTAAGAGATATTTGAGCCCCCATTCAATGACTTAAAGAAAATTCCCATTTTATTTTCAATACATTAACACTAGCGTTTATTACAAGCTCTCACATTTTTGAAGTCACTCTCTTGTGACTGACTTAAATTTCAAAGTATGTCCTAACTTTTAAATTGCTTAGTTAAATAAAAATTCAGTTAGTGGAATAGATTAATACTTAGCTATGAAAATACTTTGTGATTTAAACGAACATAAAATATAAATAAAGGAATATGAAGCATCTAATATGCACATCGATATAAAGATAGACAAAACGTTGCATTCTGAAAATTAAGTTACTACTGATTATTAATATTTCATATATTTGTACACGAAGAAAAAAATTCTGTTTCAGATATCATTCTGAATAAGAAGGACAATTTCGTTAAAAGCAAATATACGGTATTTAAACCATTCATTGGGATCTTTTTTTCGTTTATATTTATACATAAATTGTTGCGTTTCTCGTCCTTTCGTTTTTTCGTTTCGTTTCACTGCCTGTTTCAAGATTATAGTTCTTATTACTGCTCATTTAGTAAAAATTACAAATGTAAATTTGACTGAAAAAATGTTTTTATATCATGCTCTAAGGTATCATAATAAAATTACAAAATTTTACCACATTTATCAAATTTATTACATTATAAAACCATATTTTATTATTAATTTTACCAAAATCATTAGCAAAGCGCTCCGATAAAAATTGTTGAATATTTTTTTTTTCGTTTTCATAGAGCCAGCGCGAAAGATAAATGTTTCCATGTTCAGGTAGTTGTCAAGTAAATTAAAGTTAGCTTTTTAGATTATTATTATAGATAAAAGCATTATAATTTGAGTGAATATTTTTTTTAAAATTTAACGATATCATTTTGTGACACCAGCAGTTTAAAGGGAAAAAAAAAAAAAAAAAAAAANAAAAAAAAAAAAAAAAAAAAAAAAAAAAAAAAAAAAAAAAAAAAAAAAACGAGAACTTTGTTCATCTTTGATGCATGTCTGGCATCGCTGAAAAATGTAAAACTTTTTCTGAATTTTTCTAGTAAAGACGTCTTTAATAATCTTTTGTATTGATGCATAAAATTGTTAGAAAGTAAATATATAGCTTCCCTTTATCCTGCTAACTGAAGCTTTAAATAATTTCACTTCACATAACAACTGGGGATAATTTAAATAATTTTTCATTTGCTTCCGATGAAACTTTTGAAAATCTGAAAAACGCGTATCTTTCAAATCATTACCAACTGCAGCCAAAACGTTAAAATTAAAGATGCCAGAAGCACCAGAAATATTAAGACAGTTTTAAGTGCACATATTTTACTCAAGTAATAATCCTCCCCTTCGTCTTATTAACAATTTTGACAATCGTTAAGTACCACTAAGTATTTGTCCCACCATGGTCAAGTACTTAGCCCCATTTTTAGGGCTCTATCTTTTAACGGTCGTAGTCGGAATGCCACGTAATTTTGACCCTGGTCAGGCGACGTCGACAGAGCCTCAGCTGGTATCCCTCACTCCAAATTTCCATACCGCAACCAACGAGAGGAATATCAACCACAACGGATTCAACGTTTACCTTGCTACACGCTGGTTGTTTTGCTGGGCTCCGGGATTGAACATTTAATCCCAGGTCCCCACCCAGCGGGATAAGTGATACCTTTACCAATTGCTCCATCAGAGAGCTCTTTAAAATGATACATGTTATACACTTTCTAAAAGAAAAGCATCCTTACGTTTGAACCCCAAAACACAAATGAAAATATATAACAATAGATAACAGTGGAGCCGTGGTGGCTCAAGGGATAGAGCGCTCGCCTTCAAGTGAGATTAACCGAGTACGAATCCCAACAATGGCTGGTCAATTTGAATTTCGCACCCAGCTCTCACTGATCACAGCGATAACTTAAACTATCCTCATTGGTAGATGGATCATGGGTTAGAATCCCTTGCGATCTGGCTAACCATGAGAGGTTTCTGTGGTTTTCATTTCCACGAAACACAAATGCGGGATAGTTCCATAAAAAATACTTCACGAAGTCAAAATTCTCCCAATACTTGTCAGTCGTAACATTGGTAGTCATACATTGGTACAACATCGGTAGTCGTAAACCCAAAATTGGGTCAGTTGGTTAGAGACGATAATTAAATAGACAGCAGTACAATGCACAGAAATATATCATTGCTTACATATTGGGCTGACAAGAAAATAATTTCTGTTTTTTCAGAATGAAATACCACTCAATTGTCTCTTTTCCAAACAAAGGACTTTTGATCAGTCAAATATCGCCTATTCTCTTTGATGACCATTTGTCATTTTTAGGGTTAACTTTATGACTTCAATCTTATCAACAAAAAACTCAATTTAGAGCAATCTGAGGTTCCAATTATTACTGAAATTTGACAATTTATAAAATATTGTAAGCATCAAAATAAATGATTATACGAAGGACAAAATCGGTGCTATACGAGGGATTCAATTTAACTTCCCATCCAAGCTCCTTTAAATCCAAACGTTTTGAAGATGTGTGAGGTCTCACATTGCCGTGGTAGATCCGTTTCGCGATAATGCACTAGTTCTATGATTGCAAGATTGTGAAGTTGCTGGAAAAATGTAAAAAGATTCTTAATCAAATATTTGATTAATTAAACTTCATTTTTTTTGCTTTATTTCACTCTAAAAGAACCAAAATTACTGTCTTGCCAGTTAATAGAAATCTACAATTTTTTCCTAAACACCTATCTCCTGAAAATGTGTCTTACATTGTTTTCAGCTTCTTTTAAGATTTCACTCCAAAAGTACAGACAGAACACAATATGTAGCATTAAATTACAATTATCAAGGAAAGCTAAAAATTTTCTAAGCAGTTCTAAATCGGTCATTTCGTTCAGTAAAACTCGAAAACTTTTTCTATAATTCACAAACTTTATTCTTAAAATAGGATATCAAAATATGTTCTTATCGAACAATTAATAAATCTCTATCCTAGGAATTTGCCCCATAGAAATACAATGGAAAACTCTAAAGTAAGGCTTTACATTTCCCTAGATAACACACAAGATCAGTAGCCAGATGTTATTAGTTCCTCTTACATGGAAATACCATTATGCGAACCAGGAGTTTTAAATTCCTGTTTCACCGGAATTCATTCGCTGATGAATCGAACTCGACGAAACAATGATGGCGAACTTTTGATGTAAGAGGATTACTTCGAAATAGTTCGCCAGCTCTCAGTTATGAAAATCGTAAACAAATTTGAAAACTTTTCAAGAATATTTCATTCGCAATACGCTGGTTGAAATAATTAGATAGTATATAACAACTTTATAGAATTCAAATTACCCTTTACATTATTTAGTTCTTTAATTATTAAAATTATTTATCTGAAGATCTGTGTGGTCTGCACTACTCTAATCACGTTTCTGTATTTCCAAATAACTTTAAACTGTTTTTTAATCCATATAACTTTAGCTGTATTTAAAAAAAATACTGAGCTTTGAGAATTAGATCAGTTTTGTGGCTTTTCAATGCATCAATACTTTTAAAGTATTAATTCACGTGCGTGTGTCATATGCATGCTCATTTCAAGAAGAATTTATGTTCATATATTTGCAAACTACGCTTAATTGCCGGGGAATAAAATTTTTGTCTCTTTCATATACCGTCCAGTGGGGCTACTTTGTGCAAATTCGAATTTGGAACTTTTCAAGTGCTGCTATTCAGTATTACGCTTTTTTCACGTTA